GGAGGCATATACACCTCTCCTTAAGGACCAGCTGCCAAAATTGCCACCCTGAGCACTGCTGCTGCCCTGGGCCATCCTTCATCCCCTAGCTCAGCTTTGGTGCCCTCCCAGCCACCCCCCAGCAATCATTGCCTGCATTTTGTAGTTGAATATATTGAGGCACAGAATATGCTAAGTCATCCTAGCTGCCAGTAGGAGGCAAGAGCTGAGGTTGAACTGAGTGGTGTGGCTGTGGAGTGAACTGCCATCTACCCAAGCCATGCTGAGTTGTCCTAGGCACTAGGCCTGTCACATCCCAGAGCCCTTATTTCTGTCATGCCTCTTATTTCTGTCATGCTCATGACAGCTAGCCATGCTTGTTCTGTCAGTGTGAGTAAAGGTCAAGCAAACACCTTCCCTCTATGAGAACGTGTTCTGGGATCACCTCCCATTGGCAGTCAGCCCCTAGGCTGGAGGAGGGTCTGCAGGGGATGTGTGTGCTGCACCCCCACAGGAAGGGAGTTGGAGTGTGGCCTCTGCCTCTGCCAGGTGCTCTGGGTGCAGTGCCCGGCTCCTGTTCAGGGCTTGGGTTTCTAAGCCAAAGTGCTCCCCTCACACTCTCCATCCCTAATGTGGCTTCATTCTCTCACCATCTCTGGACTGCTCTGCCGACTAGCTCCAGGGCCTTTTAGGGTTTGAGAGTGGGTGAGCCCTGAGAGAGGGCCCCACCCACCATTGGGACTACCTTGGAGGGAGCTGACATGTCCCCATGTCAGCTGTCTCTGCCAGTGCCCAATGTGCTCCCTGGCTCAGTATGTGTTCACTGACTCAGGCAGAACAGTTGATCCTACTTTCCCCAAGGATGACAGCTGTTGAACCAGGTGTGCTCAAGCTCACCATTTTGTTAGCCTTACAGGGGTACTCTGCTCCTCTGTAGAAACATCACGGTGCACCGCTGGAGGCTGGTGAAGGATAGGGCACCCTATGGGCTGCACAGTTCTGGAGAAGATGACCTTGGAATCATTAGGGTCTAGTGATTCAGCAGATGCTTTTTTTGCCCTGAAGTCTTCTTTTCTCTATAGAGATATAATTCAGGTACCTTCAAATTAAAATTGAAAGTATGTAATTCAGTGGGTTTTAGTATTCACAAGATTGTGCAGCCATTCTGGGTGCCAGTGGCTCACGCCTGTATTCCCAGCTACTCAGAAGACAGAGATCAGGAGGATTGAGGTTCGAAGGCAGCCAGGGCAAATAGTTCATGAGACCCTATTTTGAACAAAACCCTTCACAAAAAGGGGCTCGCAAAGTGGCTCAAGGTGTATGTAGGCCCTGAGTTCAAACCCCAGTACTGCAAAAAAAAAAGATTGTGCAGCCATCACCACTCTCTAATTTCAGGAAGTTTCCACCAAAGAAACCCCTGCTGCTCATTGGCAGTTTCAGGCCCTGGCAACCTCTAATCTATATTGAGTCTCTATAGATTTATCTAGCCCGACATTTGTAGGCAAGTGGTATCATACGACACATGGTCTTTTTATTTTCTTTCTTTTATTTTACATTTTTTTATTGTTTTTACATTTACTTACATGTGTATACATTGTTTGGGCCACCTCCCCCTTCCCTCCCCCCCTCTCCCCCATGGTCCTTTGTGTCCGGCTTCTTTTACTTAAGTTCATGATGTGTTCAAGCTTCGTGCATGTTGCAGCATCAGGAATCAAAGATTCCTTCTTACGGCTGAATAATATTCCACTGTACAGAGAGCCCACATTTTCTCTATCCCCTCATGAGTTAATAGACATTTGGGTTTGGATTTTTTTTTTTTTTCGGTTTTTGGAGACAGTCTCACTACTATGTAACCCAGGCTGGCCTTGAACGTGAGATCTTCCTCCTCCCGCCTTCTGAGAAACTGGGATTATAAATATACCACTTTGTTTCCCTTTTTTGATGAATTACAAATTATGCTACTTTGAACAGTTGTGTGCAATGTATACCTATAAGTGAGTTTGCTGGGTTGAGAGGTTTCTTTTTCTTCTGACACCCAGCACATGGTGTCTTTCCCAACCACATTTGTCCAACACCAATTGAGTGTTCAGTGATTCAGTTCAGTTCTGGCACTGACTGTCTGGAGTTAGTATCAGATCCCACAAGTTAAAGGACTTCACGACTGCTCCCACTTCAGATGCCAATAGCACATCCTGGGACACTTGTACTTCTGACTGATTGACTATATATTGGAATCCCTGATACCCTCAGAAAGCTTCATAATGTGCTAGAAGAGAAGTCAGAAGAGCCCTTACTTCCTGTTAGTGGTTATTACAAAGGATATCACTCAGGAACAGCCACTGGAAGAATTGTGCAGGGGAAGGTATGGGGACCATGGAGATGCAGTGCCTTATCCCAGCACTGAAGTATACAACACCCTGGAAGTCTTGAGCCTCACGGTGTAGCAGTTTTATGGAGGATTCATTCGACAGGTGTGATTGATTAATTGGCCATCTGTGACTAGCTGTAGCTTCAGCCCATTTCCCTTCCCAAGTGATTGAATTAAACTTCTAATGAAGGCTTGGTCTATCTGGCATCCAGTGGTACACTATTTAGTCTCCATCCTGACACTGTCTGAAAGCCTTCCAAGTATCACAAAAGAAGCTCCATTACCCTTATCACTCAGGGAATTCTAAGTGTTTTAGAAACTTCATGCCAGGAACCAGGGACCAGGCTTCCTTTCTGTGATACGGCATGGGCCTTATGATAAGTTAAACTTCACGTTTAACTCTTGGAAGAACAGCTAAGTTATTTTCCAAGCTGGATACTGTATTTTACATTCCCACCAACGAAGCACAAGAGTTTCAGTTTCTCTAAGTCTTCCTCAATACTTGTTATTATCTGTCTGATTATCCCATCGTGGTGGGTGTAAGTAGTACCCCATTGTCATTTTTATTTGAATGATTTACATATTTTGGATACTAAACGCATATTAAATAGCTGTCTTGCAAATGTCTTCTCTCATTCCTTAGATCTCCTCACTTCCTTGACAATGCTTTTTGGAGCACAGAAATGTATTTTGATGAAGTCTGGTTTCTCAACTGTTTCTTTGTGCTTTATATGTCATAGCTAAAAAATATTGCCTAATTCACAGTGATGTTTTCTTGAATGGTTTTATAGTTTTAGCTTGAAGATTTATGGTCTTTAAAGTCTATTTTGAATTGATTTTTATATATGGTATGAGGTAGGGGTTCAACTTAGCCTTTTGCATGTGGATATTTAATTGTCCCAACACCAGTTATTTTAAACACAATTTCTTCCCCCATTGAATTGTCTTGCCATTCATTGAAAATCACTTGCCCATAAATGGATGGGTCTATGCCTATTCTTTACCAGTACTACACTGTCTTGATGAATGTAGTTTCATAGTAAGTTTTGAAATTGAGAAATATTCTTTTTTCAGATTGTTTTTGGCTGTTGGTTATTTGCGTTTTCATGAGAATTTTAGGATGTTTGTTAATTTCTGCAAAAAAAAAAAAAAAAAAAATTGCTGCTGGGAAAAAAAGCCAGCTAGTATTTTGGTAGGGATTGTGTTGAATCTGAATCTGTAGGTCCATTAAATAGTAAGTATTCCAAATCTTGTACAAGATGTCATTGTTCTTACTTAAGTCTTTCATCTCTCTTTTTTTGGCAGCACTGGGGTTTGAACTCAGGGCCTCATCCTTGCTAGGCAGGCACTCTTACCACTTGAGCCACACCTCCAGCCCAGTCTTTCATTTCTTCCCATTAAATTTTGTAGTTTTCAAGTATGTAAGACTTACATATCCTCTTTCAAATTTATTCTTTATTATTGTTTTGTTTTGTTTTTTTGGGTGTACTGGGGTTTGAACTCAGGGCTTCATGCTTGCTAGACAGGTACTCTACCTCTTGAGCTTTGTGCCTCTAGCTGTCAAATTTATTCTTAAATCTGTTATTTTTGATGCTATAATAAATGGAGTTATTTTCTAGATTGTTCATTGCTAGTATGTAGTTGATATTTGTGATTTACATCCTGTAAGCTCACTGAATTTTATTAGCTGTAATAGTTTATTTAATCCCTTCTTCAGTTTTAATGTTTAAGTTGCAATTTATTTTCAGGTCAAAGAGCAACACTGACTGCAGAAGAAATGGCTGACTTTTACAAGGAATTTTTAAGTAAAAACTTTCAGAAGCACATGTATTATAACAGGTAACTATTTACTTTTTTTTTTTTAACTTCTTTCTTAAAAGTTCAAATATCATATCCACATTGTATAGGGATTATTTTCTTACCTGAATTTAATAGCATTTTTTTTTTGTTATAAAACATGGATCAATTTATTATTCAAATTTTGTTAGTGTTTTCAATTTTTATAATTTAGCAACCGTAGAACTGAGGTATACTTTGTTGAGAGGGAGGTTAAAGTAATGCTTGGAAGCCTCTTTACTGTCCCCACTTTGATGACTGTTTATGTACACAGAACAGCAGCACACTAAACATTCACAAGCTGTGTCATATTGGCATTACAATAGTCTTTTATAGAAACAACAACAGCAAATGCAATAAAAACAAGTTACCCTTTTTAAAATCTGAAATGAAAAGTTTTTGATTTAAAAAAAAATAGCAGGTGTTCATTTAAGGAATTAGTGTCTTCTGACAGACATTAAGAAATCTGATGTCAGTTTTCAAACACTTGATTGATTAGCCAGGTCCAAAAGATCCTTGATTTGGAGAGGGCACATTCTTCTTGTACATTTTTTCAAAAGTTTCTTTATAGAGTTTGAACTTTTCTCTTAGTCTCATGTCCTTCACATCTGTGCTGCTGGCAATCCAGTAAGTCTCCCAAAGCCACGTTTTTCAACAAGGGGCTGCTTTCTTACCTGAATTTAATAGCATTGATGTTTAAATCAGAATTTGAAGTTACATGGTTTTATCAACCTCACTTTGCATTTTTAAATAAAATTGGTAGTTTCTGGCATTTACAAGGCATCCCCACCAATCCTTGCCCCTACTTCTTGGGGAGTAGGTTCTGAACACTTCTGTTTAGTGTCTTTCCTTGGAGAACCTTCTGTCTGGGGCAGAAAGAGAACAGGGTGAATTGAGACGTTGTCTGACTGGAAACAAGGCAGCCAGCAGAGATCATAGGGACCAACTTGGGGCCTCAGCCCAAGGTGGAACCAGTCAGGTGGAGCCACTTTTCTCCTAAATAAAAGTGATGACAGGGAAATAAAAAGATATCACATATACACACATCTTTGTGTTCATGATAAAAGTGATAAAATCCCATGGGTTGCCCCTGGTTATAGCAAGGTTACCAAGTCATTATTCTGAAAATTGATAAATGGAAGGAATCATGCGTTTCACCCAGGCAACTCCCCTGCCTTTCCTGCACCAGTGGTATCTTAAGATAATCACACAAAGGAGCATTTTCCTCTGTTGAAAAGAGTGATGGGTTAGAAAGGTACCATTTTCTTAATGGAATAACGGATCTAGGCAACAGATGTCCTGGCTGCTGAGACTGCTGGGCAGGAAAACTGATGGAGACAGAACCATGACAGGTCAGGATGACACACTTGGGGCCCAGAACATATCTATACTTTGTGAACTGGGGCTTCCTCAGTGTGGTGCAAGAAAAGGCACAGATCATGCCCTTTTGAGATGTTCCTGTAGAAGGTGGAACTGTAAATCAGGCCTCCAAATCCAAGTACCAGTTTATAGCTGTATGGGGCTGGGAGTAGAGGATGATGTTTGAAATGAAAGTCTGAAGGTGCCATCAGCTAAACCCAAAATGTTGGAAGTTCTACAAATTACCCACTCTCTTCAACAAGTTATTAGAAAAACAATAACAAAAGATTATGGGGGAGCTGTTATAGACTGAAAAAGGCTTGTGATGTTCAGACCTTCTTGGTTCCTGTCTGAGAAAAACCACCTGTGTTGAGATAGGGGACAGGTAGTCAGAGAAGTTTGGTTGGTGACTGTACACTAAGCTGTATTCATGAATTACTCATCCTATCAGATGCATTGATGGTATTGTGATTTTATGTTTTTTAAAAAAGAGTTTAGCTGGATCTAGATGCATCATAATGACCTGTACTTACAGGTGAAATGATAGGATATGACATTTGATACTTGTTGATACAACAGTAACAGAGATGAATGGGATAAAGGAGGCAAGACCTGGAAGATGTGGATGATGGTGGAGGCTGGATGAGTTCATGTGCGAGCATTTAGCCAGAGATTAGTCCCAGAACATCTTGGTTCTATGTATTACTCTGACCTAATTAAGTACATGATTGTGTGGATACAGAGCCTGTCTCCCCCATGGCTGATCTCCACAGGCTCCCTACTGACACACATGGGACGGTCATGCTGGGAGGTCAAGAAGCATCCCTGAGCACCCCGCTCCCACCCTCTGCTTCCCCATGGAAACAGAGAAACTTTTCTTGCTTTTCCACGTATGTTGTCAGATCAGGTCATCTGTATCCTTGAAGGAATCTAGCTTTCCTTCACCTAAGAACTAGATCCTGATGGAGTGTGGGTTTGTTTTCCCAAAGCTTTTTGTCTTTTTTTTTGATGGTACTGGGGTCTGAACTCAGGGCTTCAGCTTGATAGGCAGGCAGGCACTCTACCACTTGATGCTGGTGTTTTCGAGATAGAGTCTCATGAACTATTTGCTCAGGGTTGGCTTGAACTGCGATCCTGCTGATCTCTGCCTTCCAAGTAACTGGCATAACAGGCCCAGTGCCTTTCATCTTTACTTAGGGCACTGATTCCCACTGGAGCATCATCTCAGTTCAGAAAGTAGAGCCACTCTCACTCAGACAGGTTTCCTGCAGAAAGCCTTCTTGGAGTCCTTGGTTACTGTACTTCCTTCCATACTGAGAGCCAGGAAATCATTAGAGTGTGATCTGGGCAGAAGTGGCTCAGTAGCTCAGGGGCCTGGAAAGCACTGGTAATGTTGGCCTTGCAGCTGTCAGGGGCTCGCATCCAGGGTCTGGACTTGTAGCTTCACTAAAGCAAACTCTTTAGGCTTCCCCTGTTCAGTTTGAAACTTCCCACAGCAGGCAGGCTTTTGTGGAGTGACTTCCAGCCAGCCAGCCTGAGCATAGTTCATGCATGCAAGCTCTTCCCATGTTGGTATGAGAAGGTCTGGGGTGATCTCCTCAGAAAAGTCAACAAGAGCTCAAGTCACCCAGGAGAAGAGGATGTGGAGCTTTATGTTGCCACTTGTGATAACTCTCACAAGTTATCACCTTTGCCAGGCGCCTGTCATGCAGTCAGGTACAAAAGCAGGTCATGCCCACATTCCCTTCAGAGCCTATCAAACCTGTCATCAGTGGTTACTCCTGCCTCTCCTCCCTCTGCCATGTTTCTCAAGGAATGCCATTGCACACAGGGAGGACTCCTTTAGGAGTTCTTTAGTAAAGACCAGAGGAAGATTGGAGACCTCCAGGAAAGGGTCAGCAGAAAGGGTCTCATCACACCCTACCTGGAGGAAAGGAAGGCAGGCTTGTGTAACAGCTTTAGTGAGGGAGAGAAGGCCCGCAGGAGGAGGGCAGAGGATAGTCAGGTGAACTGCTATGGCAGAAACTTCTTAGTCAGGCCCAGCCCTGGTGCTGTATCACATTGTGCCTCTCCTGTTTCTCTGTAGAGACTGGTACAAGCGTAATTTTGCCATCACCTTCTTCATGGGGAAAGTGGCCCTGGAGAGGATTTGGAACAAGCTGAGACAGAAGCAAAAGAGGAGCATTTAGGAGCCTACGCTGGCCCCGTCCCCCCAGCGCCCAGGTTGCACTTACGAGGACCACGGAAACTCTTTAAGTGACCCCAAGCCCCACATCTTTTTGTGGGGCACTGGCCTGTGTGTCGGGACAGGGTCACCTGCCCAACCCTCCCCTCCACAGACTGTGGATCCCCAGCTGTGATGTAAATAAAGTCCAAGCACTGTGTGCCTGTGTCCTGTGTGTTGAATCAGCAATTCGAAATCGAGCCACGTAAACATGTTTGTGAAGTGAGACTCCAGGGCTGGAGGTGTGGCTCAAGTGAGGCCCTGCATTCAAATCCAACTGTCACAAAACAAACAAACAAACAAAAAGAACATAGATTCCAATAAGGAGAATAATTTGGAAGGTGCTGCTAAGTGAACTGTCAGCTGGCTGTGGTACTGCCACCATGGCTCCATGATGAGTTAGTAGTGAGTCACAGAGGATCTGCCAGATCTGAGACCCAACTGCAACATGGTTGTCCTGAAACGTGAGCAGGCTCAGCACCTGTGTCCAAGGCCAGCAGTGGGAAAGAGATGCCAGAGGACTTTTCTCCATTTCAGTAGAGTGGAGCCTCAACTTCCAAAGATACTTTTTGTGCTTAATATCACAAACTGTTAAAGGTACCTGTGAGGGCAGAGAAAATACAGAAGTGCGTGTCCCATCTGTGGTGATGTTGAATGATCACTGTTATGGTTTGGATCTTGAATGTCCTCCAAAGTTCCTTGTGTTGAAGCACTATTGAGAGGTGGTGGAACCTCAAAGGGGATGTTGAGAGCCCAGTCCCTTTCTCTCTTTGCTTCTCGGTTTCCTTGAAGTGAGTAGCCTCCTCCGCCATATGCCCCCTGCCATGATCTGCCTTGCCACAGAACAGGCAACAGGGCCAAGCGTCCATGGACTGAAACCTCTGAAACCATGAGCGCAAATACAACTTTCCTCCTTTAAGTTGGTTTTCCAGGTATTCTGTCCCACTGACAGGAAGCTGACTAACACAGGTACCCAGATATGCTACTGCTGGGGGCCTTGTCAGCCCCAACAGATCCTGCATCACCCACACTGTACTCATTTGTCCCTGAGTTGTCCGCCAGAGTGGTTCCATCACTGAGCAAATGGGCTCTGTCCTTCAGCTGCTGACAGGTGACCAGTACAAGTTCATGGTATACGGCTTGTCCTGTCCATGGCTCTCCTCATCACATTCACAATCCTGGAGTTGAGCTGCTTGAGGCCTTACGGAAGAGAAGGTCAAGTGAGCTCCAAGTTGGGGGAGGAGGCAATGTCAGTAGTGTTAGAACCACAGGTCTCTGGAGCCAGACCATCCAGGCCCCACAGCAGGGAGCCCGAACACCCAGACCCAGCCAGGATTCTTAAACATTTCTGTGGTAAATGTTATTTTAGGTCACAAATAAATGCAAGTAAATGGTAATTGAGGCTATTTTGACCCTAATTTTTTTTTTTTTTTGGCGGTACTGGGGTTTGAACCCAGGGCTTTACACTTGTTACACAGGGCTCTACCACTTGAGGCACTCCACCAGCCCTTAGATATTTTTTATGTTTAGACTATGTGTGCATTTGAAAGTCTTAAATTGGACTGGGTGTATAGCTCAAGTGGCAGTGCGCCAAGTAAGCATATAAGCTCTGAATTCAAATTCTGGTACCAATTAAAAAAAAAGTCCTAAATTGAAAGGATAAAAACATTGGCTCTCCCCTCTCTGCCCCTCTGTGTTGCATGGTGTTTGTAGACAAACATTTCAGCTGCTTACATTCATTCAGAAAGGAGACTGGTGTGGCCCTCATAAAGAGCCCTGGGCAGCTCAGGTCAGCGACACAGGATGTCTGGCTGTCTGGTCTTTACTTAATCCTAATAGTATTCAGGAAGCCTCTGCCTCAGCTTCCTTGACTGGAGCAGTGCCCATGCTGCACAGCCCTGGCCAGGTCTCTGAGTGGCCCTAGGTAGAGCATCTGGTACTTCCCAGGCTCTTCAGCAGTGTTTTCCAAAAAGACCTCTGTAGACTGGAAGGTCTGAGGCATGCTAGTCATGCACTGCTATCTGTGGAGTATTGGAGGTCTCTGCGTTGTCTGCCTGGCAGTGCCTCAACCCACATGATATCCCTACTCCTGTGATGGGCTGTGCATCCAGGGTCTGCTCATCAAGTCCTGTATTTTACCCCTTGGTCCCTTGAGGGCAAGGCTGTGAGCACTCTCCTACCTGCCCTGTAAGCTGTTTCCTTTGCAGAGAAGTGGCTGCTTCCCAGCCTCTGTGCCCAGCTCTTCCCAGCCTTCCAAGGCAGGGGGCAGTGAGCCACAAACAGCCCAGTCAGCAGCTCTGTACACTTGTAGTGGCTATCTTAGACCTCCAGTTATAGAGGAAATCATGTGGGAAATGGTGTGACCCAGTTTTGTGTTGCTAATTTTTTTTTTTTTTTTGCTACCAGCATTGGTTTTTTTATGCTTTTAAAGACATAAAAATACCCACATTCTGCTGACATTTTCTGAGTTAAAGTTTAATAGGCTTCTGTTTTAAAAATGAATAGCACAGGAAGGAATGACATCTTCCCCCCACTTTTTTTTTTTTTTAATGGCACTGGGGTTTGAACTCAGGGCCTTCACCTTGAGCTACTCCACCAGCATTTTTTTGTGAAGGGTGTTTAGGTGTTTTCGAGATAGGGTCTCATGAACTATTTGCCCTGGGCCGGTTTCGAACCTCGATCCTCCTGATCTCTACCTCTTGAGTAGCTAGGATTACAGGTTTGAGACACCAGCTCCTGGCTGCCCCATCCCAATCCCCCATTTTTTTTTTTTGCTTTATTTTTGGGGTAGGGTCTCCAGTTTTTGTCCAGGTTGGCCTGGACCTTGATCCTCCTATTTACGTTTCCTGCATAGCTGGGATGACAGGCACACGCCACTTAACTGTTGGTTTCCCTAACTGGCCTTGAACTGATACCCTCCCAATCTTCACCTCCCAGGTAGCTGGGGTTATAGACATGAGCCACTGCATCCCACCTTTTTTTGTTTTGTTTCGTTTTTGAGACAGGGTCTTGGCCCTACCTTTGCCCTGGCAGACCCCAGACTCGATCTTTCTGCCTCCAACCCCTGAGTAGCTGGGATTACGAACACTGGCCACTATGCCTCCCCTCCACTCCATTACATATTCTTAACTTCCAACTGCAGAAGCGTCTGTGCTCAAATGTATAGCAGTTATATCTAAGTGATGGTTAATAAAATGCTTTCTTTCACTAAGAGAGAAAAGGTAGCATGATGAAACCAATGGCCAAACTTTAAAACTTTTAAGTAGGGATGTATTCACGATTATGTGAGCCCTTCTTGGGCCCTGCTGCCTTCTGTGGCTCCCATCTGCCCCCTGTAGAAAACCCCTGTCTTGCCTGATTACCTGGGGCCTCAGATGCATCCTGGAATGTCCTCATAGTCACACAACACAACATTAAACCTCTCTGTCTCTCCTCTCTTTCAAGCCAGTCAGCAAAATAGTTCCCAGCATAAGGCTTGGCTCTCCAGGGAACCTTCCAGGTCTCCCCTGGTTGGAGAGGTGTCCCTGCCCTGTGCTCCAGTGCTCTGGACAATTTCATTTGCTCATCAGTGTTATTATCTGCTACACCCACCTCTCCAGGAACCTCCCACTCAAAATAATTTGCTCAGTGAGGCATGCAGAGGACCAATGCAATATGCTTGTGCCAAAGATAAGCTTCTGCCTGCCCTGCATTTCTGGGGACCCAGGCCTCCCCCATTCTCTGCCTGCATGATCAGAGGGGCATGAGCCACTCTGTAGGGGAGTGGCTTATGCCCCTCTGTAGCACAAGACAAGCCAGGCCACTCCAACCAGGTCCAGGGCCCTTCAGAGCAATGAGGGAACAAGATCCTGTACTCTGTGCTTGCCTCCTTGGGGGTTTCAAGTCTAGTGTGTGCACCTGGGATTTCCAGTGGTAATCCTGCTGGTGGATGAAGTCAGCTCTTCAAAGCAGAGCTGAGAAATGGAAAAAGGAAGAATCCAGACAGGAATATTGGGCTGGGAGCATGGCTCAGTAGTGGAGAGTGCTTGCTTAGAATGTGTGAGGCTCTGGGGTCAATCTCCAGCCCCACAGAAAAAAAGATCAGTGGTAGCCACGAAGGGAAGGAGAGCCACCCTCATGTCCACCATGGACTTGGGGATGTGCGTCAGATGTCCCACTGTGGAGAGCTGAAGTGGGAGGCAGCGTGGGTGGGAACAGGAGAGCACACGGGAGCTCTGTACCTTCTGCTTAATCCTGCTATGAGCCAAAAACTGCTCTAAAAAATAATCCTATTTAAAAATGGATGTGTCTCCCTGAGCACCTGGACCACAGGAGGTGGAGCCTGGCTACGTCTCCACCAAAGTGCCAAGAGTGTCCCTCCCCAATCCCTTGGGTCCTGCAGTATCCCCTACCTTTCTCCTGAGCCAACTGCCACAACCTCCTGACCTGAACAGCAGGTCCTTCCTGTCCTGCTGCTCTCTTCTTTTCTACTTAGCAATCGGTTTCCTCCTCCGCTATTGCTGCTGGAAGCTAGCCCATGCTGTCCTCTGCAACCCCCATGGTTTTGTTCCCTGAGGGATACTCAGTGGCCATCCCTCCTCCGCAGCTTTGCATCCCAATGGTGGTTCCCTCACAGGTATTGCTGTGGACACAGCAAATCCCAGCACCACCTCATTTGCCTCTCACCCTTTCTGCTATTGTTGGTTGCAAATGAGAAAATCTTTAACTGTCATTACTTGAGCATCTTGGGATGTGCCAGGCTCAGTGCTCCAGTGTCTGCTGCTAGGCTCTCTGCAGTCAGGTCACAGACAGGAGGGCCCAGCCTGTACCACCTCCACCAGCTGCTGGCCTCCTGTACCGCCTCCACCAGCTGCTGGCCTCCAGCTTCACTGGGAGCCAAAGTTAGCACCTCTTGTCTCAGTCTAGACATCCCCAGGGATGGCACCAGCCTTGACCTACCATCTTGCCACCTAGTCCGTACCTCCCACCCTACCCCTGCTCTCAGGTGGGTCTCTATTCTGTCAGGTCTTTGGATGGCAAAGTACCCTCTGAAAGAGTCACTTAGCCACTTCCCCATGGGGCCAGTGTCCTCAGCACCCCCACCCCCACATACACACACTTTGCCATTTGCTGGGCATTCTCAGCTGTACTTGGCAGCCCAGTAGGTACTTGGCACCCACGTGCCCCTTTTCTTCCTGCTGGCTCCCAGCTATCATGGCCCCCAGCACTGGTCTCCCTTTTCTCAGCAGCTGATGCCATGTGTGTGGGGCTTCCCTCTCAGGGCCTTGGAAGCTCCAGCTGTGCCTGAGACCTGGAGACCCCCAAGGGACTGGCAAGACCCACACTCTTGGCTGTGCAGAGGACCAGCCAGCAGGTAGACAGGTGCTTGCAGATGGAGCAGAGCTCACAGCAGGGGTGCCAACAGCCTGGCCATCAGGGGGGAAGTGAGGGTAAGTGTTGGTGGATGATGGGGACTGTCTACCACACCTTGCTGGGAGTTCTAGGGGTGGCATCCCTCTT